GTTTAGGTATAGCTGCTGGATACTACTGGGATTAGGCTTAGACTTTCCTATCTAAAGTTGTCTTAAAAGATGATTTAGTTCCACAACAGCTTTTGCTGATGAGACTGGTGCTGTTTGCATTCTGCTCTATTCAAAAATGTGTTCTTTTTTTCAGTACTGGTGTTCATCGGACCCACGGTGAAACAGTTTGGAGTCCTGGACTTGCAAAAACCCCTAAACCTCCTAAATCAGTGATACAAAATATATAACTAGGTAAAGCTACACCAAACTTACATCACAGCTCTAGAGAAAGCAAAATGACAGTCTCTATCATATTAAATTAATTTTCTCTTTTCCACTAAACTATGAAAGACATGAACACCCCATACAGCTCAGAGAAAAGCTCAACTGGAAGAAAGAGAAGCATCTAAAAATAGCAGCTATTGAACATGAACACCTCCCTTATTGCCGTACCATTTAGAAACAAAAAAGGGGATGTCAAGCTCTTCCCATTGATCTAGATTTTCTTTATGTTCTATCTCTTCAGCTCAAACTGTGCAACAACCACAAATGGAGCACATACCTCCTGTGTGAGGAATGTTTACAGCATTACATGTTCTTTATTTACCAAAGAAAGAAGCTAGTGCTACTCTCGGAAAAAAACCAGCACACAGTACTGCTCCTGATATATAGATTTTTTTGTAAAGGCCAACAGGGAATTCTGAATCCTCTTCCCAAGGCTTTGTCTTCATCGTGTCATTACCAGAGATTCCTTCAATTTGGGTGGGAGTCTTATATCTGAAATGAGCTTTGAAGAGCGGAAGTAGGACATTTCCCCCCTCCTTTCCTCTCTGCCTCTACTCTGGAGAATTAAAAATATTTTGAACATGGAAATCTTAAAACTGCTAGATTAATGACTCTTTTTTACACTAGCTTGTTCCACTATAGATGTAAAAGGAAACTCCAATACACAGTTGGTCATCTTTCTTGCAATGTGTGTTGCTGAAGGCTTTAGCATAAGGAACAAAGAACCTGGTAAGCACGTATTTGAATGAGTAGTTATGGGTAGAAACTGGTATTTGGGTTATTTTTCTTTTTACATTGTAAAAAAAGATGAGCGATAGAGAGGCAAGCCCGTTCCTACAATTTTCCAACCACAGTTATAAGCTAGTAGGATAGCAGATAGCATGCCCTGCCTGAGCCGAGCTTGCATTTGTTTTGCTTTGTGTAATAGCCTTCCATTTTTACTGGCTGCACTAAATTTTTAGCCTCACAATTCCAAATACTGCCACTGGTGTGGTCAACAGCTGTTTGTAAATGAAACGTTTTAATAGAAAGAACTCAGGGTAAGATTGAAATCTTTCTCATCATTGGAGGAAGAGCTAGCAGTGTAAACCAGCTGGAATTACTGACAGCATGGGGAAAAAGTATTCCCAATGACTTTAGGTTGATTTCTTTTTCAGATAATGGAAATATTGGCAAGACATACTTGCTTATAGATACAGATTTTAATATTTTACTACGCTGTCTTTTTTCAACTTCAAGTCCAAATTATCCTAGCAAGCAATATTTCACAAAGCAATAGCATTAGAGAATAACAATTTTCAATTTGAAAGCTGAAATTCCAAGGTTTTAGGTGATAGGCTTACAAATGTAACAGGTATTCTAGCCCTAACAGTTTGATGCTGAAGAAATCAGGTCAGAACTGTGAGGAAAGGTAAAACGGCAAAATATGCATAAGATTTTCAAGCTTTCTGGTGTCTGACAGTCACAAAACATGATAAAGGAAAAGCATAAGGAGCAACAAAGTCTCAGTGAGAGACAAAACAGGAATTGAAAAAAATCTATATAAGCAGACACAAATCCTTCATACAGACATTATGGGCTGCTTACCCTCCTGCTGACATTGCAGAGAGAGACAATAGGTCAGACTTGAATTGCCTAAACTGCCACATAGCAGCTTTGTGTGTTGGTTCATAGGAGGCACAGACATTTACTGCCCAAGACACTCCTTCAGCAACACACAGACCTTTATTCCCTCAACTGGAGCAGTTACTGTCCTTAAAATCCTGCAGCTTTTGGTAGCTTGCTTTCTCAGTTCTGAAGCCATAGGTATTCTGTTGTATTTCTTGAGATTTTTAGTTGTTGAGGTAGAAGTTGTTTCCTTGCAGTAGGTAACTTTTATGTTTCAAAACACATAAAAGGGAACAGTTTGATGCAGGTTTCTAAACCATAAACATTTTTTCAGAGCTTTATTTACCTCTTAGGACAAAATCTTGGATTAGCACTGTTGACAAGAGCTTTACATGGAAAGAAAACTTGCGTATTCCAATTGAACTAAACTCACCATTTTAGATACCCTACTGAATTTTCTTGAAGTAGATTCACTGATGCCGTGACTGGATTCGTAAGTGATGGAAGGGCAAACCAGCATCCTGATGTCAACAGCATCTACAAAGCTTTATATATACTTACAGATCTTTATGTACATTCTAAAAAGAATAATTGAATGCAAAACAACTCTCTTAAATGCTTTATCAGTATGTTGTGCAAAGTTTCACTTGAAGTTTGAGTGAAGTAACTGAAGAACCCAGATTTAACCAAAATGTAGGAAAAAAGTCAGAGTAAATTAAATCACATAAACCTATTATTAATAAGCCTACTATTAATGTTTCCTCTAAGTTCCTATTAGCATGTAATAACTCAAAAGAAGAACAATAGCAGCTTAAGAAACCTAGGATAACAGATTAAATATTTGAACAAAAATATTTTTAATCCAGGATTACTTTAGTGTCATATTGTGCCCAGAGAGGGCTCTAATAGCATTCAGCTTCAGCTATCCAGTTCTTACACTCCTAACATCTAGAGGGAAAAAGTTGATACTAAGCCTCAGTGTTAATTTGTCAGCTCACAAATCCACAAAATTGAACCCTTCCAGTATCTGCTTGCAATTCCTTACAGACAGCTATTATTAGTTCACAGGTCCTATCTCAGCATGTAAAAGTCAGACAACACTAATGCTATCCATGCTATCTTCCATACCACACTACAAAGTATTTGTTTAAATACAGTAGGATGTCCCTGTTCTTAATTATCTTAATACAGAAATATAAGCATTACACAAAGCTTACTAAACTTTTATAAACAGTACTACACTTTTTTATTTCATAAATATGACTCACTGAACAGCTGGTGTTGCTGCTGTGTGTACTTCAGAGACAAGAATCCTGCAGTTCACTTGTAGGTGAAACTTGTTATCCTCTTGAAAACCATGGAACAAAATATCCGGACTGGCAAGCTAGGATTTTGTGTAGTAGCATTCTGAAATCTGGGTGTTTAGTCAATTTTACCATTAATGCACAGTCTCTAAAATGTTAGTTTGAACAGATGCACCCCAGAAGCCTACTGAACTAAACTGGCACATGCTCCCCAAGCAGTGCCAGAAGAGCCATCACTGTTTTCTAGCTGTCAAACCAGATTATCGCCTCTTTCTCTTTGCCAAGGGAAAGGATAGTCCAGACAGTTAAGACCACTTCAGGCAAAGTCAGCAGGGCTAGTTCAATTTGCTCATGAAGATTGCTTCAGATAATTGGCTTAATTAACTGTAATGGATTAGGGAGTACTCACATGGCCTTTCCTGGCAGCAGAGCTGCAGGATGGAAGAATTCCATCCTTGGAGTTTCTAAATGTCTGAGAGGCTGTTTATTCCTCTCTTTTGTGCTGAGAATTAGTAACAAAATAGTTCCTGTAAACCAGGTCAGAAGTTTTGCAGTCCACAGGCCCATCCCAACAGCTTAGAATGCTCCCAAGACCATACTGGAATGAGAAACCATGCTTGGCTTAAGACTGCACCTCAGAATTTCTAAAAGGGCTAACAGCCCATTAGGCAGTGCTGCTTCTTGTCAGTCCTACAGTTTTATTAAATGGCTTAAGCTTCTTCGTGAGTGGCTTCAGCCTTAGTAATGCAACAGCTCAGGGAGTGTTAGTGCAGGCTTCTCCAGAGGCATCCTGGACCTCTATGCAGGAACCAAATTTAAGCCCAATTCTTCAGTTCAGCTTTCCCACTTCTGGCTTATCACCAACATCTGAACATGTTTAATAAGAAACCAAAACCAGTCTAACAAAAACAGACTTACTACTACAATCAGGGAAGGTCTTCTAACAATTGTTACTATTGATTAGTACAATAGATTTGAATACTACAAAGATGTATCATACAGACAAGATATCCTAACCCAGAAAAATTAAAATATCTAAAAAGAATAGAAAATACAACAACCCCCCCCCCCGTAGATTCTCCACATCACATCAGTCGATCTATAAATTCCAGTTTCGGAAGCTGGACTTGAATCCCATTAGGCCCATGAAACATGGTTAATAAATTTCAATGATTCTTATTCTGATTAAGTCCTCTAAAGTCTGAACTACCAGAAAAGATAACATAATTTATTCCTTTGAGGGAGGACAGACAGGATATTTAAGAATTAACCTCAAGTCTGAGAAGTAATAGATAGCAGAATAGAATCAAGGAACTATATAAAGGCACTTGCTTCCTACAGATTTATGTTTCTTCCACTAGTAGAAGAGCTATTGGAGTTCTTACAAAGTCTTAGCTGGTTCCCCAACTGTGAGGTATTTTCCTGAAAACTATGAACCTGAAAATTTGGGGGTTTGAAAAAGGATGTGCTCAAGGCACTTTAAAGGCTTAAATAGAAAGGGTCTGTTAGCTTATGGCAGCAGGATACACTTTTAGGAAAAGGTAAAGAGCCTGTACTCAGGAAGCACACCAGCGAGAGCACAGAACCACCCTTGTAACCTGCTTGTGTGACATTACACCCAAGAGAGCACAGGCCCTATGCTGTACGAGAGTATCCAAGCAGAACAGCCAGAGGAGAACCAAATTAGGAGAAATTTCAGAGATTGCTTAAATTTATATATGAACTTCCTATTCAGGTATCTATTAAGTCTTGATGCAAAACAGAAGGGTAAAAGAAAATTCATACAACTGAAGTGACACTGTATCTGAGAATCTACTTTGTTTATTTCAGCAAGAAGTGCCCCCAAACCTAAAGTACAACATTTTAAAATCTACAACACAAAAATAGAAAATATTCAAAATGCACAGAAACACAAGTCACCTTTAATGTGATTAAAACGTCACATGAGATTTTTTGCAGTTAAGTGGCAATTAAGGATGTGCTTTACAACACTGTACAGAAATCTGCAAGTTCCTGTACAGGCAGGATCCTCACGCTTGTGCAAGTCGTTCTAGGACTCTTCGGTAATCTGAAACAAGCTGTTGGAAGCTCTCTTCTAACTGCTCACGTTGCATGTTTAGGTCTATTTGGTTCAACTGATTAGTCATCTCCTCTGGTCTTAGACACCTTCTCATCTTGGCAAGTTCTCTCTGTTTTTTCTAAGCAATCAAACAAATAGCAGTTTGAACACAACAATAATTATCAAGAATATGGTATTTCATTAAAATTTATTCAATTTCAGTATCTAGTTCTTTAAGATGTCCCTAATCCCAAGAAAAGCATTTACAGTGTCTGTACATCTCTTCTGTTAAAGCCTTATAGTTTCTGTATTACCAATGAACTAGTGAAGTGAAAAATGGTTTCGATTTTTTTTCCTTAACCAAACAGATTAGGTCTAACAATACACCTACTACTGAAGATGTATGGCATGAAAAACTTGACTGCAGAAAAATGACCAGGATATTTAGTTCTACACTGGCATTAATCACACTGGTGTCCCACTATGTAGCTGTTCAGCCAATTAATTTCCCCATAACTATCAAAAATTAATTTTAAGCCTCCTGTATACAGAAAAAGTTTCACAAATTCTTACAAATTATTCAAGTAATAATTGTCAGGAACTAGCAGTAACAATGGTGAAATGAAATAAGATTATTTACAAGCATAAGTGTATTTGTACAGCAAGAAGATGAGTTCTCCTTGCTGGGTCACATGCGATATTTTTACCTGTTTCTTAAAACCACTTCAAAATG